CAGAACCAACTTAAAGTTTTACTCAACATATTAACTTAGCTACCAGCGTAGGAACAGATGTAACTGAACATTATTTTTTTATATTTTCACAAATATTGCATATCCTTATTACATTTTGTTGCTAACAGTTGGTTTCAGTCTTCTTTAATAAAAGAAAGTATGAGACCTACAGCTAAGAATGTTTTTCTATTCACCTTATAATTTGAAATGAAGCTAGTACTATTCCAGAAACTGTTAGCTCTTCAGCCAGAGATTTGATGTATCTAGGTTGTCATTTGGGATTCCCTGATTAAAGTCATTGGGGATAGCTTGCACCACATTGCACAAATTACCCAATTATAACTGAGGAAATAACACTTCCAAGAATGGATGCAATCACTAGATACAAAGGTATCTAGATAGAGCCATTAGGCTTCTAGAAGACCATGTAGGGTTGCTGCAGGGAAGGGAAATTTGTCTTTGTCCTAATAAATAGCAGGTGTGAATAATAAGCTGTCTTGATTCAAAATATTTTTTTAATAGGACCAAAAGTCTTTCCTGGTCTACACTCCATTATATTCCTATTTCTTATCTTTTTGTGGGTCTAGAAATGGCTGTCTTCACTTGTCTACATATTGTGGACTTCAGCATCATCAAATTATTGCTTGCATCATACTGCTGAGTATCTACAGAGTAGAAACTCATAATCAGATTGCATTAATCTACACAATATTTTTATTTCTGGTGATCTCTTCAGGGAATTAAAAAAACAACAACAAGGAATATCATTCTTGGGTTTCTTTGGCTATTATTTCCAAAAGTAGAGAGTAGGGATCTGCACATTTTTAATTTTTTCAAGTTCAAATTTCACAAAATGTTCCATTTCAAGTGTGAAACGTACTGTTTCAAGCATTTTAGAACTCATTCTGGTTTGAGCTTAGAATGCTTCCAAAACGCTCAAGCAGCCCAAGTTGCACCCAAAACACCAGTTTTGCACTCCAGACAAGACATTAGATGAAGCTTCACACTTGAAAGCTTGAAAGCTCCCAGGCCCTCCCCTGGGGCCTGCAACTTGTGCGGCCTGTGCCAGCCCTCCCAGCCCCTACCCTGGTCTCCTCCTATCCCCCGCCATGGCACCCCTGCACTCTTTACCTGGGACTCCCGTCTGTTCCCACTTAATGACCCGCATGTCTTGGGGTTACAACAATTGGGACTGCCTGGGATTGCCATTGCTAAGCATCACACTTTACGGCCGCATCACTTAGCGACTGCAACCCCGGTCCCAATTGCTATCGTAACCCGAGGGATACCTGTATGTAGTTACTTCTGCATGAAACAATAGTCCAGTGGTTTGTGATTAGTCTTGAATTACATGAAGTTCATGATACAATTTAACTAGCTTTTGGTGTCATGTAATCTGTTTTTTCAGTTTAGTTTTTGGCTAGTCATATGCAGTTATACACCAGTTTTCTTATATAATACATATGTTATAATATGAAATATGCTATTTTATTACTGGAAAAATTACTTTGTTATTTGTTTTTCATTAATGTAATGACATATGTTGCATATTGTGTGTTTTACCAGGGTTCTACAGTGCTTCAGATAGTAGGTGCTGAATCAGGATGGGAAAAAGACGCTGTGTTCCTCCACTTGAGCCCAAGTTGGCAGCAGGCTGTTGCGGGGTAAAGAAACCCAAATTGTCTGGAAGTGGAACACATAGTCACGGGAATCAAGCCACAACTGTGCCAGTCTCTAGTTCAGGTCCTCTTCAGAACCACCAGCATGCAGATGGGGGCAATGGAAGGGAGAATGTATCAGATTTGACTTTATGCCCTGGAAATTCTCCAATTACTCGAATGAATCCCACTTCAGGAGCATTGAGTCCACTTGCCCGGCCTAATGGAACTGCCAACAGCACCAAAAATCTAGTTGTGACAGCGGAGATGTGCTGCTACTGCTTTGACGTACTCTACTGTCATCTTTATGGTTTCCCTCAGCCACGACTTCCTCGATTTACCAATGATCCCTAGTGAGTAAATTTATGGGCATGGGAGGGAAACTGAATATCCATCCAAAGGGATAATGCAAGGGTATTCAAAATACAGGTTATCTGCTAAAAAGAAATCTAAAATACTATGTCATTATTTGTAGGATGGCTTAATATATAAAATGAAACTGTCTGCTATAAACAGAAAGCATGCATATGTTGGTGTTTATGAAATACGAGTTTATAACAACTCTGTGCAGTGGCAGTTGGAGAGCACTGGGATTTGGAGGACTGAGGAAAGAAAGGCTAGCAGTAGGCAGAACCAACTGATTCTGGTTTGTCCCAATCTTTTTCATTCTAATGGATACTGAGTACATTGAATACAATAGTATGAGTAAGACTTAATAATTAAAGGCTCAAAAAAGGGCTGCAGTTATAAATGACTTCAAGGAATCCAGAATTTTCCTTTCTCTAATTTGTAATCTAATTCATTTTCTTAACCTAAGGAATTAGTTGACTGGTCACTTTTTCTGGTTAGTTTTTCACAAAGACAGAATAGCTCAATTTGGTCATCCTGTCTTGGCTTAATAAGCTAGGATGTGTATAGATCTTCTGCTATTTCTTCAATTAACCATAGTTACTAGGATCAGAATAAACCATAATCTTAAAACAACTTTAATCCATATTTTTAAGATTCTGCACTTGGTAATCAGCTAACCCTACACCTGATAATTAGAGATATACAGACTGAGTTTGCACAGTATTCTAAGCTAAAATATGATTGGCTAGTTCATAGCTTAATATGTTGTATTAACTAATCCACTGTGGTTAGTTTATGGTTTAAGGTGTTGTGTGAACCAAGCATTTTGGTCAGTTCAGTAAATGGTTAATCATGGGTTATTGAACTATACAGTTATAGCCATAATAAAATCAATATGTCCCCATGAACATTTTGTTTTATACAATTATAACTTTTTAAAAGATAGGAGAAAAATATGGATATATTCATAATTAATGACTGGAGGGACTTTAATAATGCAGTATGGGGTAGTGGTCAACATGTTGAATGAAGACTGGGGAGACCTAGACTGAAGTTTACCCTCAGCCATGGAAGCTCACTGGGTGACTTTGGGACAGGCACTTTTTCAGCCTAAACTACCCCACAGTGTTGTGGGAAGAATTAGAGAAGGGAGTGTTACATATGGCACCTTGAATCCTTGAAAGAAAATTCAGATATAAATGTAATAAATATCTATAAGTCTACTTGATAGATTTTTTATCTCATGGCAAAATAATTTTCTGTTATGTTTGTCCCATAAATAGACATTCAAGATTACCTTGAATGGGTAGGATCTCTAGATGGTATAACAATATTTAATATAGTTATTAATGTTGGTGATATTTTGGCAGTTCCTTGGCCCACATGAAGCATGCTATATTTCATGGATTGTCAGCTATATTTATAACATTTCACTTCAGTAGTTGGATATCTTTTTCCTATAGTTTGTATTCTCTATGAAATGCTACTTATGTAATGTAAGGGTTGGAAGTTAATTTGGAGATTCATCCCCCTGCCTGGTGCAGGAATCTACTACTACAACATTGCCTATAGATGCTGATCCAGCCTCTGTTTAAACATCTTCACTGTTTAAACTATCCACCACTTCCAGAGGCAATCTGCTCTATAATGAACAGCTCTTACCTTTAGGAATTTTTTCTGATGTCCTACCAAAATCTACCCCTCCCCGCAACTGGTAAATTAAACCCATTTATTACTAGTTGTCCTGTTTTCTGGAACAGTTCTGAATAATTCTGTCCTATCTTCAATAGGATTGCCTTTCAGAGATTTGATGTCATCTGTCTTGTCTCTCTGCAGTCTTCTCTTCTGCAGGCTTAACATACCAAAACCTCTATCTGCTTTTCATAAGTTTTTTTTTCCTTCCAGGCCTCTTATCATATTGGTTGCTCTCCAGTGGGCATGTTCTAGTTTGACCATGTCCTTCCTAAAATACATGCCTAGAACTGGATGTAGTATTCTAGAAGTAGTCTAATTAATGCAGAATAGAAAGGAACAATGATTTATATTGATCCTGATGCTATACTTCTGTTGATACAGCCTAGGATTGCATTTACTTTTTTTGCAGCTGCACAACATTGTTGGGTCATCTTCAGCTTGTTATCTGCCAAAACACCTAGATCCTTTTCATGTGTATTGCTGCTCAGTATGATCCCCCCCCATCCTATACTCATGCTTTTGATTTTTTTCTATCCCCGCGTAAGACTTTACATTTGTTGCCACTAAATTTCATCTTGCTGTTCTTGCTGCTTATTCCAGTTTATCAGGATCTTCCTGAATCTTCATACTGTTCTAAGGAGTTTGCCAACCCCCCATCTTTGTGTCATGTCCAAATTTGATAATCATAGTTACTAACTCCTTACCCAAATTACTTATAAATAAGTTGAACAGCACAGGGCCTAAAATGGAGCCTGCAGTACCCCATTCAGCATTTCCTTTTAGCTTGATGTGGAGCCATTTATTGGGCACAATTCTTCAAGAAGCTGTGTATCTGATGGTGACATATTACAGCCCTGTTCTTTTCATCTTCACATGCACACACACACACACAATTTAAAAGGGAAAAAAGCAGATTAAAAAAGGAGTGAGAAGAGAAAAAGCACAAGTAAATAGATTTACAAGCATTATATTAGGTAGATTAACTACAAATTCTCAGAATAATTTTAATATAGTTCTGCATATTTAAATACCTTATATTAAAATCTAGTTAAGGTATCAACATTAGCAATTAGCAAAGTATGAAATATAAATTAGTGAAAAATTACAGTCTTATCCAGTCAGAAAGAAAGCTAAACCTTATTTTTCAAATCATCCATGACTTAAATGTTAACTGTACGTTAAAAGAAACTGACATTTCAGATGTGGTGTAAGCCCATGGGTACAATTATAGTCTAAAAATGGTTTCCATGTCAGATTTTTCAAATGCGAGATTATTTCAGACATTGAGGCATGCTCTCACAACTTAATTTGCCATTCTTCTACTGAAGGAATTATACATACTTTTCAATGGGAAGCATACAGTATCCTTTTTCTTATTCTCTACTAGAATTTCATAGGAGACTTAATACTTCATTAAAGTCAAGGTACACTATGCCTTCTGCATTCCCATGGTCAGCTAAACTGGTGACTCTATCAAAAAGGGAGATCATGTTGACTTGGCATGATTTAATCTTGACAAACTCATGTTGGGTCCTGCCAAACAATGCATTGTTTTCTAAATGTTCCAAAACCAATTGTTCACTAATTTGTTCCAAAGTTTTGCCCAGTAAACTGATCTTTCTGTAGTTACTAGAGTCAGATGGTTTCCCTTTTTTTGAAGATAGGAACATTTGGACTTCTGGCACTGTAAGATGACATCCACAAGCTCTTTTAGGACTCTCAAATGTAATTGGTCATGGAGACTGTTAGAGAGTGGGAAAAAGAGACAGGAACCTTACAGACTTGCATCCACAGCTCTTCTTGATTTAGAACAATATTTAATACATACCATTAACTTAGCTTTACAAAATATAGTTAAGGCCTTAGCTTAACAAAATACTGTTCTGTACAAACAATTTCAAAAGGAGCTTTTTACAGTGTCTTATCTATTTCACTACCTCCCTTCCTCACTCACACAGCTTTTGTTCTGTGTTTCTGGACTCATTTCTAGGAAGAGAATGGGAAGAGGGAAAAAACTTTTTCGGGCTTATCAATAGAGAGTTGAACATATTTGTAAGAATTAAACATTAATCCCATTGAAATAATTAAAATAATATTAACATTGTTTTATTAACACCAACTGAAATATCGGTGGCAATGAGCAAGCTTATGAGTTCACACAAGCTCTTCAGGCTATTAAACAAAAACAAAAAGATGTTATTAGTTATGATGGGAATGTTCCCCACAAGAGTTATTGGGGAGTAAATCCCAGTAAGTAATTTATTGGTGAACATGCTTATAAAGTCTTGGCGCATGGATTAGACTTGCTAATGCAAGATTATTTTTTTAATCAGGGCAACTTAAAAAAGCATTACTACTTCCCTTTTGAAATAACAGAAATATAAGCACCAATCCATGTTTAGATGGACACAATTCTGTATTAGATGGAGTCTAATCAATTAAGATGCCAACCTGTATGCTAGATATGCTGGTGGGAAAAGTAGGATTTAATGAAAGCTCCTTTTGCTAACTGATTTTGAGATTTTATCTTCTCAGTACAAATGGTAATACATCAACATATCCCTATAACTATGATATTCTGCCAATAGGATACTGTAAGAGAAACTGTGCTTCATCTTAATACTGCTGACAAAGGGGTTGGTGTGATCAGAAATGCCCCTTTTTATTTAATGGAGAGCCAAAACAGAATGACAGAACTCCTACATTGCTATGGTGTAGATTAAGATTTAAATTAATTCTGCCTTTAACACAGCAAACCTTCACCAGTATATAAACTCTAGACAGGATTTCTGTAGCTGAAATGTTATGGTATGCTCTTGTATGTGTGAGAGAGAGGGAGAAAGGGGGACAGCATGAGAATGAGAACGCATGTGCAATTGACTAACCAAGGGGCTGTTTTGGTGATGGGAAATCTGGAAGAAGAATACTTTGCACAAAAGTTCAACCTGCCCTAGAGGACACTGCTGACATTTGTTATAGAATTCCCAACAGCTACCTAACCTTAAGACATGAATGTCTATCAGCAACACCATTCCTACAACTGGGAATAAAAGGACAAAGCATCTTGAACAGGTAAGCTATGTATGATGGAATGCCAAACAGACTTTGGGAGCACGGAGTGGTAGCAAAACAGTTAAGGGAGGAGGAAATAGGGGCATTACAAAAGAGATTGTTAAGTTTGGGGGAGGGGAGAAACATGAAAAAGAGGACTCAGAGTAACTCCACCTTAGTTACACTAAATATAAACTCTGCAAGAAAATTACTTGGTAAACTTTCAGTTTTGTTACATTATCGGCAATAAAGATCTTTTGAGAAATCTAAGTGATTTTGTTTCCTAAACTAGTCAGCCTTGCAGGGCTTGACACCATACTTCAGAATACAGTTTCTATAAATAGTTCCCCCCCTCAATAAAAAATGAAAGCTACATTTTGACTAACCTTATCGGCAAAATGATATTTTCTCCTACAATACTTTGAAGTACTTTAAAGGTTTAGCATGCATAGCCCAGTAGCCATGAAAACAGTAAATACAAATAAACTGTTAGTGAATGCTAGATACTTTAAACCTTGCTGCTTTTAATCACATACTTATGATCCCTTTTGCCTCACAGCATCAAAATCAGAACACAAGAAACACACAGAGGTTTCCTTCAGGTGAAAGGTAGGTATTTAGGGTGAGAAGATTTGGTATACCATTTGAGCACCTACAGCAGCATTGAGTGGTCTCCTCTGAAATAAGTACTATGTATTTAAATTCAGAGACTGTGCCTTACACCTGCTAATTGTTACTCTCCCTTTATGTCTTTAGATTTCTACAGACAGTATTCTTACTAGATGTGGAGGGCTGGATATTTTCCATTCTCAGTGCCATGCAGACTACAAGCAAAGCTTACAGCAAGGCCAGACCAATGTGATTCCAACTATTCCATTGTGTTGTTACCAAACTTATTCCAATAGGTTCCATATTTTGGCAACCAGTTACATATCAAGTGAAGCAATGCTTGCTACGGAAGATTGAGCAAGACTACTCTTGTATAGTTTTCAAGTTACAAAATGCAATAGGGTGGTTTGCAATCCCTTCTATGTGCTTTTGTTTTATTTCAGAACTGTAGCACTCTAAGTGCTATATGTAGAAGGGTGGGATATATATTTAAAATAAAAAAGACTAAACAAAGATTTCACCTTATTACAGCTGTTGTCCTTTTATTAGTTCAGATGGTACTGTTCACATAACCCATCCTGGTTCCCATTGTTCTCAGAATGATACTGGGTAGAATGAGAGAAAGATTTCTTGCTATTATGACTTGGTGCACACATGGTTCTATCATCCAGCTACCTGAGTTTCAGTTATACTAAGGAAGTAGGCCCTTCAGCTCATAACAGGAGGCCTGGTTTCTGCTTCTATAAACAAGAGTCATTTAACATTAGTTGATAGGGGGAAAATACAAAGATCTGACACATAAATAGCACGCTGTCTTATTATGCAGGCCTATTTGGCATTCCCTTGATTACTTAAGAGAACACATCTGTGTAGGCTTCTCCCAGCTTCTTTTGTTATGAGGCTGAATCCAGAGCTTGAACTTGAAGCCATTGTATATGTGACTGCTATAGTGCAATAAAAAGCTAATGTTCCTTTACAGCCTATGAACTAATGGTATAAATGTCTGAGCATGTATATAGATGCCTAGGGAGTATTTTGATTACTGAATAAGTAAGGAGTTGCTCTAGACTATAGTATAGGTTCTAGTTCTGCTTACTATACCATCCCTGTCTCTAACATAATTTTAGCAATCAATGTATGTAGAAGATGAATTAGACCTTGCTCCTACCATTTCTCACAGTGGGGCTTGAATTTATGTCTTCAGTTTTTTAAAGCCTCCCTGATAGATAATGGTTGTTTCTCACAGTGAGTACAAATTGTATATGAATTCTGAGAGACTCATAGTTGCTAGGTTCCTGCTGTCTGAACCACAATGTGTCATGGTGTGTGATATCTGTGTTGGTAAATCATGCTTTATATAGTAGAGTAAGGTGATTGGGGGACGGTTTCCTATCACAGTGCAGAAGTTGATGGATTACCTGTCACACTGTTCAAATTGCTTAACCATGGCTCTTGGAATAAACTCTACTTGGTGAGTTCACACACTAAGCCAAAATGAAACAAACACCATTATGGGTGTTCTTTCATGCTTGGCTACTGTTGCTGGAGGAGCAGAACATTGTCTGCATGTTAAGATTGTCATACATTTGGCAGTGTGGCATGCAACAGTTTTTACTTCTACTTATGCTTTTTGTTTTTTCAACTTCTGCGTGTCCTCAGTTTTTATTATGGGGATTAGAGTGATCAAGTCATATATAAAAATATGCAGCAAAATCTAGAGCTACATAAAAGGGTTTTGTTCCATAAGTAAGGTTCTTTATACATTTTCCAATAATGAGGAGGAAGAATTGGGAATCTTCTGTGAACTCTAAGGTTTGCAAAAATAGTGGAAAAGCTTCAACGAAAAAATTCTTGAGAGGAGCCAGTGAATGAAGCACAATGCCCATGCACAATGGATATGAGTGGTGTTTATCTTAAAAGGGGACAGACAAGGAGAGTAACGAGAAATTACCCTGAAAGAAAAGATGGCCACTAGTCGGTATCCTGTACAAAAGCACTCTACATTGCAATGTTTTGTTGCAGATTCCACTTAAATTTAAATTAAATTAACATTTTTGCAAGACTGAGAGTGTCTTAGGAGGCATGTTATTTTTTAAATCATACCCACCCATTTGCCTAAAGGTCAGTTTGAAGGGTAGCTCTGAGTTCAAAGCTTGCTTGCTACTTTGTTAGTTGGCCTTAATGAAGATACTATACTCTCTGTTAGTTTCTAACTAGGTAACATAGCTATGTTCTATACCTATATTTTAAAGTTAGATTATTATAAAAAGAAGATACAGATTTTTATTTCTTTTAACGCCTATTGTTTTTTAAGTAAACAAGAGTTATCTCAGTGGATCTCTTTGGATCCATTGCACTGAGAATTTATTAAATGTTCTACCGGTGCCTAACAATCTTAGCAGTACAGAATTCTTGGTTTCCAGCTTGGAACTTCTCAACATAAAGTCACAGTGATGTAGTATAATCCTTTAGTCAATACCATTTGAAAAAAATCTTCCCTGTTTCTGACTATGCTTTGCTCACTTTGTAGGGTTAAGTCTAAATCTAATGAGACTCTAAGCTGAGAGGCTGAGAACAGCATATTTTGTTTTATAAGATTGTTAACCAGTATTGTCTTTGTTTAATTAAGAAAACAATGTCAACCAAACAAGAAGCTAAATACTATATAAGGGAATCATCTGTAATTAGAATGAATAAACTTACTCTATTTTTAAAAATCTGCATATTTTAGTTATAAATGGAATAAATTATTACTATATTTTTGCTGAAATTGTAAATTTTAATCTTATTTCCATAGTGTTTATGGAACAAAGCTATTTCCCAAATTTGAAAGTTTATAATTTGCTCCTTATAAGTATGCTGAAGAACATTTAAAGGCAGGACACAGACAGAATCTAAATCAGAATCAAATGTGATTCTGTAACTTTTTTGTTTTAAATGCTACTTATTATGACTTTTAATGGGATTACTGTTATCTAGGATTTCAGGCTTACATGTTTAAAAGTACTGTAGTTTATGTAACAATACAACTACAAATCAATAGAGTTTATTTAAAATAGAACAAATAGCAGATAAATGTTAATGGATAATTTGCTGTTCAGATGAAAAGAATGTAGCAGACATGGCAGCTTTGATTTTCATCTAGATTTTTGTATGTTTGAATTAACTTTCTAGCAAACCAGCTTTTTCAATATTTCTTTGCCATGCTGTTAAAAATAGACAAGATTGACAATTGTATATCTAGATAGCTAACAACTAGCTTTCAGATTTAGATCTGGAATACTTATTAAAACTAGTTTAATTCCACTCTTAATCATTGGATATCAACAGAACCCTAGCATACTGAAGAACTCAGAAACCAGATCAGGAGATAATGCAGAAGAGATGGTAAATTATGGAACAGCTAGGCTTTTACTTGAAAGCGTATTAGAATAAATAATATAAAAATACAAGCATAAATTTGATAGATGCATGATTATGTATAGCTAATGAATTAAAAACAAATGGTATCACAATTACTTTCTCTAATTACCTTTAAGATTAAGCTGTTCCATTAGAAAATCTTAAGCTAAGTTACACATGACATTACCCTGGCTTTAGAATTTCTTCATAAAGAAATGATAGTTCTGAAGGAGAATTTATTTAGATTTAGTTCAGAGGACAGCTTTAATCCTCCCCCCCCCCCACTGCAGTTCCAATTTAGCTGTCCTCTTAGGGCAAATAGCCATGGTGGGAGAGCATTCTCAGTTAGAACCATAATTGAGAAAAAAGTGGGAGAATCCCTCTAAAATGGATGGCATTCCTTCAAAAAGCAATTGCTTTATATATTCTTCACTTGTACAAGATCTGTCATACAGTATTTAGTTTGGTCCTTAAATAAGGCTTCTGGCAGTACAGTATGACATCATGGAGTAGAGAAATAGAGATAAAATTGTGTATGTATTAACTCAGTCATTTATTTTATGGTGGAGTATTATTTTTTGTTTATTTCTTGAGTTCCATCCCATATTATTGCTGTTTAGTGCCTATGTATAAGAATACTTAAAATCAGGATCAGGTTGTTATATAATTTGTATTCAGTGGGGTTATTACTGACTTGAGCATTCTCAGGCATTGTAGAAGCATATTTTGGTTGTTTGTGTAGGCTTCATATATGATATATAGAAAGCAGTTGCCATTAGATTGTTACTAAATTAAGGAAAGTTAAATATAAAAAAATCAGGAATAGATAACATGGTAGCAGAAGTATTTATATAGTTAGTATGTGCCTGATTAAGCAACAAAATAAATACAGATAAATACAGTAAATATATTTGGAGAAAATGTGTGAAAGGGCTTCACTTTCAAAAAGTATGGATAAGAAAGATAAGACCGTTGAACACCCTATAGTGCAGAAATCAGTACAAAATGCTGTGGGTACAAGATAATTTAGCACCCTCATAAAATGACTTTTTAAGCAGGATCTTATTTGTCATTATAAAAGGCATGGCCAGAAATCTTCCCCAAAGTACCAGGAGTCAAACCATTTAGGATTTATAAATCAAAAATAGCACTTTGCATTGGGCTTGGAAGTAAAAAACGTAACCAGTATAATTTCAAAATACATTTACAGGTAGTCCTCGACTTATGATCACAATGGGGACTGGAACTTCCATCGCTAAGAGATGCAGTTGTTAAGTGAGTCGTGCCTGATTTTACGACCTTTTTGCCACAGTCATTAAATGAATCACTGAGGTTGTTAAACAAATCACATGGTCATTAAGCGAATTGACTTTGCTTGTCGGAAGCCCCTTGGGAAGGTTGCAAATGGCAATCATGTGACCCTGGGATGCTGAAACCATCATAAATACATCCTGGTTGCCAGGTGCCTGAATTCTGATCACATGACTATGGGGATGCTGCAGTGGTTGTAAGTGCAAGGACCGGTTGTAAGTTACTTTTTTCAGTGCCATCGTAACTTCGAACAGTCATTAAACAAATGGTCATAAGTCAAGGACTACCTGTATTTAAGCATATCAAACCTACATTCACTAATAATCAGATACATTCAGAGTTTTCAAATTGCCTTTAAGAAAAGCTCCATGCAGACTCAAGAGGTCCTGATAAGTTTCAGGCTTGTTGCTTCTTCCTTCTTTTTCTTTTCATATGAGCTTTCAGATTTTTCCTCGCAAGTGATAGCTTACTATTTTGCACAATGTTCAAACTCAAACTAAAATACAAGTGTATTATTTGCTGTTGACTATAACTCATTGTACATGACTGAAATGGTGAACTACTTACATTTTAGCACTAACTCCAAGCTGAAGCTTCTAATGTCTGTGAGCACTAAGTGTGGAAAAGGAAATGGAGCACAAAGATTTGTTTCAGTCTTTTCTGGACCAAAGTATTAGGACTCTGCAAACTTTGGAAATGTTTTAGAAGTGCTTCAGACCTCATATGATTGCAGCATCTCTCTGCGATTACTTTAAAAAGCCCATTTTCAGGCTTCCCAGCAAATGTGAAAAAAAAAATGTTGTTGCTTTAAGGAACCCACTCATTAAATTTAATATGAAAGCAGCAGCACCTTTTTTCAGATTCACACAAACGTATAGAAGTACAGTATCTCTCCCCAAGTTCAAATGTGATATTTTAGAGGAAAGAGTTTATTGTCCAGGAACAGATATTTCTCCTGGCAGCAGTTGTGGGTTATCTACCAACTTTTCTATGTAAACTGAGCTTAGGTTTAGTCAAGCGCTCTTAGATATGCAATCAGGTATTTCATTGCCTGATTAGACTTTTTTAATATGGTATTTTATATCCAGAGTAACAAAAATTCTTGTAATACTGATTCATATGTATTTAAGAATTAGGTTCTCTCTTTTAAAACTGTACCTCTTCTAACTGATAAATGCATCTAAGAGAAGGGGAAATTGTGTTAAGTAACAAAACAAATGCTTTATATATAATGTGAACAATACAGACAATTAAATGAACACTGAGGATAGGATAGTTTCCATGAGGAAGAAGTCACACTCCCAACACTTCTGAAACCTGTTGTCTCAAGGAAAGAGCCATCATAAAATGCTGCTCCGAAACTGGAACACTGGTCAAGTACTAATCCCTTACCAGAGATATTGAAAGTCACTAGCAGAGCAACAGGAAACCTGTGGCCCTTCAAATGTTGTTAAATAGAAACAGTCAACAGTATAGCTGGTGAGACAAAGAAATGTTGGTAGCTGACATTTAACACAATTTATTTGGGCCTCAGATTCCCTGCCCTTCATTTGAATGCTCCAGAAAAATGAGTAGGATTATGCTGCCTACCTATCCTGGTTTAGGTTATCTTAGATCATCCAAAAATCTTGCCAAACTCCCCCCCCCCGCCCCGCAAAAGAAGCATTTTTCTCTATTCTTCCACAGAAAGGAAGCAGGTACTCAGTCTTCTGCATACTTAAGCCAAGTGAAATTAAGATAACTCAATCATAACCTTTGTGTTGGTTACAATATTATTAAAGCCTGTTTTTCAAATACTCATACTGAATTACTGTGAATTCTTAAAAACAAATAAATGTAATTATAACTTGGTTACAACTTTGTCAAAAGCTAGACACTTGTTCTGACATTTTAAGTATTTCTAAGGTTTTAGATAAAAGATGGAAAGCAGATTGTAATTTTCAACCTTCCATCAATGAAAAGGAGGCATTGAAAGCTGCAAAAGGCATAACTTGATTTTTCATTACAAGTGCAATCATATTTTTTGTGTTTCAATTTATTTTTCCCAGCAAGAATTATTTGAAGCTTTTGTGTTATGCATTTTCAGTCCACTCTTTGTGACATGGAAGACAGGCCGAGACAAACGACTTCGGGGCTGCATTGGAACTTTCTCTGCCATGAATCTTCACTCAGGACTCAGGGAATACACATTAACCAGGTAAAATCAACAGTGATCTCTCAGAAAATCAAGTCCGGTTCGTTATGTATATATATTTTTTGCGATTTCATGTGTATCCTGCTGCCAGGTTAGGTTTTTTTTTCTACTGTTGCCATTTTTTAAAATCCTGCCTTTATTATTTTTATAGATAACTCAAAAAGGTGAACATACCTAATACTCCTTCCTCCTCCTATTTTCCCCACAACAACAACCCTGTGAGGTGGGTTGGGCT